TGTATTTATATATGTTACACTCAGTGGTGTAGTGAATGTGATGAATCCTGCCCACCTGAACCAGGACTAAACCAGGACTAAACTAGGACTAAACCAGGACTAAACCAGGACTAAACTAGGACTAAACCAGGACTAAACCAGAACTAATCTTGGACTTGAGAGTGAGAGAGAGAACCCCGAGCTCACGGGGCAGGGGCATTTTCATGGAGATAGAGTCATTTTATGCTGTACTGTAGATCATGCGGCCAAAATAATATCATCACCATGGCGATAACCCGGTCACTCCACTGGAAAAGTTACAAAGTGCACCCTTAAGTTCTTTGTGTAACGCATCAGTGGCCCAGCTAAAAGAGATGATATTTCGCCTCCCACCAAGACACTCCTTCAGTTCTGAGAGGAGGTTTTTCGACTGAATAGAATTGTTTTGTTAGAGAAGTGACTCAGTGGTCTGTTGAGACCTCTGACCAGAATGTTAAGAATGTAGCTGTCGTTTTCATCCCACTTTAAAGCTCCTATATCACACAGAATGGACTCAACTTTTGGTGAAAATTAAATCACTGTGTCTAATTTGAACGTTTTTTTCCTGTGAAAAGGAAAGTGCGCCATTAGCATGCTAGTTGGTAAACAGTGCTCTGCCCACTGACATTTGTGAAAAGCACTTAGCGTAAATTCTGTACTATAAGCCGCTACTTTCTCTCACACTTTGAACACTTTGATTCTTTGTTTGGCACATTGTTCATTCATATATACGCTTTGTGGTTTGGCAACACGGCGGATACACGCTAGCCAGGCCGCCGCCACCTAGTGCCTCCACTCAATTTTATTTCTCTCCAGCAACTACGTTAGGAATCAAAATACAATAGATGATTTGCAAAAACCCCAGAAGTGCAAGTTCAGGCGCCATCCAATCAGCGAAGAGCTATATATTCAGTGTTGTCAACGATTCCCGAGATCGAGGATTTAAAGCCGGAACAAAGAGAATGTTTGGTGAATTTTCTCAAGGGGAAAGACGTTATTGCCCTTCTTCCTATGGGATTTGGGAAAAGCTTAATAATGGTTAAATGATAAAAAGTACCCGCCTACCTTCGAGCAATGTATTGAATTGAAATGAATTCTAAGGCTGCGAGGTCAGACAGTTTGTACGAAGGGAAACGAAGTAAAACCGGCTGATGAATCAGGTTAGATATGTGCAGAAAACGCTGCTGTCTGTGCGGTTACACATGGATCTAAGGTTAACATGAAGTTGCTAGACTAGCCAACGGTATTGTCAGCACACTCAAATAGTTTATCGCTGTGTGACAAAAATAATGAATGATGCTAAATGAACATTAGTGATTGGAATACTTCTTGCCTGTATGTGTAAATGACGAGAAGAAACATCTCAAACTTCAGCAGCTGGACATCCACTCATACCTGATCTACAGAACTAGCCCCGCCCCCGGGAGAGTTTGAAATCTACAGAAATCCTATGAAACGCTGAAATGAAGGCAAAACAGGACAGCGGCTCTTTCTGCACGGGGAGAGACGAGGATGGAGCGCTGAGCAATATACTTACTTGACTGTGTATTGAACAGTTATTTTGGGCTTCATGCTCACACTCTTCATGGAAAACACACGAAGAAATGCAGATAATGGAGCTTTTAAGTTAATGGCAATTGATGTGGCTGTGGAAGAAGAAAACAGAGTTGCTGCACGTGAGTTTGGCATCAATGAGTCGATGGTGAGGTTTTGGCGATGGCAGCGTGACGAACTGACTTAATGCAAAAAGACGACTGTTACGACCCAGCTCGTTGGGGTCAGAGAAGTAACAAAAAACCAAGATGGATAATGGAATAAATGAAATCATGTTTAATTAACAGGGATGTAAAGGTAATTAAAATATATACAGAAAATAACCTAAACTAAGAAACAAAACAACAGAATTACACAGTATGTGCCACAAAACAGATCGCGTAAGTTTACACAAAAACGAGTGGTAAAAATAAGGGATACACACAAAACTAAAAGAGAAGTGCACCAAAGTAAACTACATAAACCCACAAAGAGAATTGAGTGATAAAATGAAAATGAAAAAAAGCACAAAACAGAACTAAACTAGTGTCTCCACAAAACAATCAAAGTCAGACACATTCTAGTACAACACAAGTGACTGACACGAAAGAGACACACAAGAACACATTGAGGTGTGGCCTATATATATATATGTATATATATATATATATACAATTTTAAAATTTTGTTAATGTGGCTTATATTTAGCTGCGCTCAATAGTCTGAAAAATACGGTATATACTCATTGCGGTGAATAATTAGGATGTTCAGAATGCATTGGGTAAGTCAGCAATAAATAAAGTTCTGTTTTTCATGTTTTAAGACTGTTACAATGCACTATGTTACTTTTCAGTAGAGGGTCCAGGTCCTCACTTTCTGGTTTCTATGGAAATGTGATTGCTCTGCCTGGAATGTTCCACAGTATGACTTTAAACAGCTCTACCTGACATTTAATCAATTACAGGTAGGTTTAGAGCTCAAAAGTAACCTAGAAAAACAGGCATTCTGACTGTGAGCGGGGTCGCCTCTCCACAGATCTGACCTGGAACTCCGTCTGGTTGGGTTTCCATGAAGATAGAAATGTTTAATGTCATACTGTGTAACATTTCAGACAAATACAATAACATCTCCACGAGAAAAGTTACACAACGCACGTTTAAACCTAATTTTAAAGCATCTGATAGTTAGGAAGTGCATTGATAGCATGCTAGTTGTTCTTAGCTTCACCGTGATGATCTTCCTTTACTCTTCACATTCTCTTTACAATATGTGTCATTTCTACTGAAGCACGACAAACGCCTGTTACAATCTGTCTCGTTCACTTGTGCGAAATGCTGATAGTAGAAACCCCGGATGAATGCCTTGCTTCGGGGCACGCGGGCAGGTGACATTGAGTGTGACAAGAATGTTAAGAATGTAGTTGTTGTTTTGATCCCATTTCGTGTTATCCTTGTGAGTTTTAAGCCATGTTGTAATGCTTGAAATCGTCCAAATGATTCTAGTGAAGGTGTATGGAGTTTAAAAACACAGTGGAGCTTCGTGTATTACCACATGACATCACAAGGCAGCGTAATATGAGCCCTAAGAAGAAGATTGTTGTATATCTTTACCAACGTTTTCATTTAGACATCTGTGGGTGGAAAAGTCATTATACAAGGACTATGTAAATGGGGATGAATTGGGTCTTTTTTTTACCACTATTATATTTTTATTCACTATTTTTTAAAATTCAATTCTTTTGTGTGATAGGTCTTCAAATTTTAAAAAGTTCAATTGAGTGTTCTTTGTAATCTTTGTAAATGTTCCTGAGTGTCTACAAAAGAGGCACATGCAATTTTATTTTCAAAAACCGTTCAGTGTTTTTGCACTTAACAAGAATTTCATTTTATTCAAAGTGTGTGTGAGAGACAGGTTTTCATGTGTTTCTAACTATGACTTGGTTTTGGTTGGGTACGACCTGTGGTGCATATGAATCGTAGTTTTGCGTCAGTGAAGTGGCAGTATGTGGTGGAAAAAACTTGAGAAGAAAAGTACAAAAATACACAATGTAATGTTGATTCAAATTTCCATCAAAAATGCAGTGAAAATTTACTAAAGGAAGGCACTTTTCTGACAGATTAAACCTTCATTTAACAAAATAAAGGTGCTGTAATTTATTATAATCAGTCTAATCACAGGGAGGCAGATAATACTCCCTACAACTGTACAACAGTTCAGCCTTATGGAACAGATAATACTCCCTACAACTGTACAACTCAGCCTTATGTAACAGATAATACTCCTTACAACTGTACAACACACACTCACCTTTATGTAACAGATAATACTCCTACTGTACAACTCACCTTTATGTAACAGATGTACAACTCACCTTTATGTAACAGATAATACTCCCTACAACTGTAAACAAACTGTACAACTCACCCTTATGTAACAGATAATACTCCTTACAACTGTACATCACAACAGGTACAACTCACAGTACAACTCTTTATGTAACAGATAATACTCTCCTACAACTGTACAACAACTCACCCTTATGTAACAGATAATACTCCTACAACTACAACTGTACAGTACAAAACTCACAACCTTTATGTAACAGATAATACTCCCGTACAACTGTAACAGATCACAACTGTACATCAGACAGTATATACTGTACAAGATATTCCTTGTACAAGTAACAGATAATTGGCCTTTGTTTACATTATGGTTGCCTGGTAACAGTTATGGTATACATATATATGTCGTATCTGCTGCTAGTGTCCAACCAGGAAGTAAAACTATAAAGTTCCTCAAAAATAAAAGAGTTTAAAAAAAAAAAAAATCTATATAAGACTAGGCAGGATAAAAAAAAATAAAAATAAATATTAACTATGTTTTAGTGAAATGTGTAGCTTAAAACACCCTTGGGCTGTTTTCTGATCTATGTTATAATGTTGGTCCAATGAGGTTCATTTAGTCTTCTGATAATTTATGTTATTAGGTTCTTTTTTCAGACCAAGAGTTTGTTATAATGTTGTTTCCTCATCATAAACAGACCTGGAGTTGTGTTTTGTTTCATTCACATGTTTAACACACTAACCCTGCAGATTTAGGCTGAGTTCTTCCCTCAAACTGAAAACACTCTAAACAGCGAAACACTTTAAACTCCATACACTTTGACTAGAATCATTTGGATGATTTCAGCCCTGGAATTGTCAATCTCTACTGAATAAAAAGTAGCTGTTGATTCAAAAGTTGCTTCATAACATCACAAGATGGAACAGAGTGTTTTGAGCTTTGGAGATGTAGCCAGACTAATAATAAATGGTTACTCAAACAGGAATGAACAAAACAAAACATAACTCTGTGTTTTTGACGAGGTACCAAGATTTTTATCATGACTATGCCAATTCCTATGCTATTCCTCTTTTAATACTTTCTCTCTTTTCCTTTACCCACAGAAAGGAGGCTCCGCCCATAACTGCGGTCAGCTGAGGGTGGGTCACGTGATCGTGGAGGTCAATGGCGTTTCTCTGAGGGGGCGGGAGCATAAGGAGGCCGCCAGGATCATCGCCGAAGCCTTCAAGACCAAAGACCAGGACTACGTGGACTTCCTGGTTCTGGAGCCTGGACTTTAGAGACACTACAACAATTTACAATAATCAAAATAACTGTTTTATTTTGAAAGGACAAAATGGAGGAAGAAGGGTTCCACTGTGATAAGATTTGCACATTTTAGATTTAGAGAATTTATTTACACTTAGAAAAGCCAATACTGAAGAATAGGTAATAGAATATGCCCTCACTGAATAACATGAACTGTGTGATTTTGTGTTTTGATATTTTTATCAACATTATATCACTGTACAATATATTCCCATGCATAGGTGACAAAATATTTACTACAGGTACTATCTTACAACACAGCGTCATAATTAGAAAAAAAAAAAAAGCATAAACACTTTAAGTGTATTTTATTTAGTTTTATTATTATTATTTACTTTAATTGAAAAAGTGTTTTATGTAATTGCTTTCATTGGTAGAATAACTATTGGTTTAGGGTACTTTAGGTACAAGTATGAGTGAAAATCTAGCTGCATTTTATAGATTTATAGAAGTTATTTTTGGGGTAAGATAATACTGGAAAAGAATACTCTTTAAGGGGCCATATTGTGCTGTTTTCTGATCAGCGTTATAAACTTACCTGGAGTTGTGTTTTGTTTCATTCACACATGTTTAACACTGAAATCGTGCATATGTGGTTTGCAGAAAGTGCTCTGCTGTCTTTATAAACTCCATACACCTTCACTAGGAGGATTTCAGGCCTAGAATTGCCAATCTCTACTGAACTAAAGGTAAACAGGAGATTTAAACTTAAAAACTACCACTTCATGACGTCACAAGGTGGAGCAGAGCATTTTGAGCTTTGGAGATATAGATAATTAATAATAATTAAGGGTTACACAAACGTGTGAATGAAAAAAAACATAACTCCAGGTATGTTTGGGAGGAGGTAACAGCTTTATAACATGGCTTAAAGCTCGCTAGTTCGTTTTGTCGGATCTTTAAATATTATACCAGCTTTTTCCTCCTTTGTAATAAAACCCACACACTTAAATTAGCCACATTGCAGATCCAATGAAGTTAATCTAAGGGTGCTTTCACACCACTAGTTCAATTATTTGGTTCTTACCAGGAAATAAAATTGTTATTATCTGGTCCACTTTCACACCTACCAACCAACCAAAACTGGTCTGATTGACGTATATCCAAGGCTCCTGCACATAGCGGGTTCGACTGCATGTGGATGTTGACTCTCTCCTGCATGCCAAACCTCTTGGAAGCGAGGCCAAGATGCACTGTCTCACCCAGTGGCCTTCTCCATGGGGTACAGATGGCTTGGACTGGTCCTTATACCCCCAAGCGGAGGCCAGACCCCAGCAGATACAGTTTCTCAAATCCTGCCTAAGAGCCTCCCTGGCCCAGGGAGCTCGGAACTCTTAAACCTACGGAGCACCAGCCGTGGTCACACCCCTAAACCCCAGCCCAGTGCGAGCACACAGGGCTACCTGGTTGATCATGCCAGTAGCATATGCTTGTCTCAAAGATGAAGCCATGCAGGTCTAAGTCCACACAGCTGGTACAGTGAAACTGTGAATGGCTCATTAATTAAATGAGTTGTGATTACTGTGGTCACTCTACCGTTACTTGGACCTCGTTTGGCCACAGTTAGTGGTTCGCCCCATGTCATCTTCACTCACCACCAACAGGAAATGAAATAATTAGTATCCCCTCCCATGATGCATTTCGAATAGTTTGTTTGGACCCCCTACAGTCTATGATTTGGATCCAACGAACCCAACTAACTAACTTGAATGGAGCATATGGAGCACACCAGATGCTGTATGTGTGAAAGCTCCCTAACAACAGACATGATTAATTCATTTAGTTCATAATGCAATGTTTAAGAGTGTTTTTTTTGTTTTGTTTTGTTTTTGGCATTAGCTCCGTGTACACATTACTGCTGTGTGCTGTCTACATCTAATTATGAAGCAATTTACCATGATGGCAAAAGTCCACGCTGATCTCTGAGCGTTGTGAAAACTGCTTATAAACTCATCACAGTGAATAATTACAATGAAAGGAATGGGTTTGGAAAGTGAGGGACAACAAATTGGATCACTGCACTGCTGTTTCTAATGAACTAGTTTCGTGTTTTATAGTTTGAAGCCAGTAAAAATCAGGTACAGCGCGTCTAACTGTCAGATTGTAATGTTTACAGAGTGCAGGGAGCAGCTATCTTGTGTTTTCATACTCGAGGTACGAAATGTTCTCTGAGTTTCCAAATAGGAATTCTGAGATGGAAGCATGTTCTTGAATTTACAACTAGGAATTTCAGGACAACTATGAATACACCATCACTGCACCATTTTATTTTGTAAGCAAAATACATCAAGAATTGTTATTAAATGTCCTATATTACACAAAATTGACTCTTGTGAGCTGTGAGTCATTTTAAAACATTGTTACCTCCTCAAAAACATACCAGGAGTTGTGTTTTGTTTCATTCACACATGTTTGAGCAACACTTTATTAGTCTATTTCTCCAAAGATTATAAAGCTCTGTTCCACCTTGTGACGTCATGAAGGTAGTTTTTAGGTTAAGGCAAGACACTACAGGCAAACTCATTTTTTCAATTTTGTGTTTTTTGGTTAGTTTGCTCTCTTAACTTAAAAACTTTCATGTAGAAACAACCAAAACATCTACTCAGCTCCGAAAGATGATTCAATATTTATCAGTTTCTAATATAATTCAACAAAAAGATCAAGAAACTGAAATCTTGCTCTTTTCATGTTTCTGTTTTGAATCCCAAAAGTCAATTCTGGCAGTTTTCACACATAAAATGCCTTATTTTTATATGAAAAAATTACACGATGAAAAACTTGTAATACATTTTCTTCTTACTTTTTTGTGAGTAAACTGCAGGAGAAGTTTTTAACTGATGTCTCTAAATTTAAGATGTGGTGGAGTCTCACATTCACAGTTACTTTTTAGATCAGTACAGCTCAGCAATTCCAGGGCTGAAATGATCCAAATGATTCTAGTGAAGGTGTATGGAGTTTAAAAACACAATGGAGCACTTCATGTATTAATGCATGAAGTCATAAGTTGGAATGTTGTTGTTGTTGTTGTGACCTGAGCCGTCTTTCATCGTCGTTTTCTAAGTTAGTCCCAGGAATTCTGCAGCTCCTGTGAGGTCTGTCCATAGAGTTCCCACATGGAGACCTGGTGGTGCTCGCTGTGCAGGGCGGGTGAAGAGGTGCTGTGTTGTATGAGGGGTTTGGTACGGAAGCCGAGAGGGGTCACAACAAACGCAAACGCCGCAACAAATACAAATGCGACAACACGACAAAAAGTCACAACACACCAAAAAAAACACAACGGAAATGACGGCGGGACTCTATTTTAATGCAAACGCCGCAACAAATACAAACGCCACAAACGCAAATGCCGCAACACATTAAAAAGCCACAATACATCAAAAAGCCACAACGGAAGTGACCGCGGGACTCTATTTTCCGACAGACCGATCAAGCGGCAAGTGAAGAAGAAGAACTACAACGTGAAACGAATAATGATAAAACAATAAACTACTTTTACTTACGTTTCCAACTTCTCCGTTCCTTTACTTCTCACGTTGTAGTTCTTCTTCTTCACTTGCCGCTTGATCGGTCCGTCGGAAAATAGAGTCCCGCGGTCACTTCCGTTGTGGCTTTTTCATGTGTTGTGGCTTTTTAATGTGTTGTCGGCATTTGCGTTTGTGTTGTGGCATTTGTATTTGTTGCGGCGTTTGCATTAAAATAGAGTCCCGCGGTCACTTCCGTTGTGGCTTTTTTGGTGTGTTGTCGCATTTGTATTTGTTGTGACCCCTCTCGGCTTCCGTAGTTTGGCCACACCCGGAACACGTGTCAGTGATGTTTGTGTCAATCCAACTAAGTTACGAGTTCAAGAGTGGATTGTATCTGAGCCAGAGTGCACCTGGTGTCTCTGGGCAGCTGCAGTTGTTCAGTGCTCACTTTTGGGACAGGATCAGCTGAGTGTTGAGCCCAGTTGTGCTGCCATATATAGGTGTATAAGCCAAATCCCAAAAACTCTGTAACTGTCCTTATAGACCTTTTTCACAAAGGCTGGAAGTGCCGCAATGTAGGATAAACACAGCTCCAGGTTAATGCTTTTCTATGGCAACTGATATTTCCTTTGGGGTTAGCAACTAGATCCAATATGTGATACTGTCATGAAAAAAATGTGGGCAGGAAAAATGGAAAAAGTCATAGTGGGACAGTTTGGGTGACCGCCGTCCTTATAGACCTTTTTCAGAACAGCCGGAAGTGCCGAAATGTAGGATAAACGCAACTCCCGGTTAATGCTTTTTTTATGTCAAAATATCTGTGGAAATGTCTCATGTATTTTCCACCAGTTTCAAAAATCTGCCCCATCACCAAATCCAAATCTTCGTCCAACAAGGTCCACAAAGGACATAGTCTGTCCATGAAGAATTTATCCACAACTATCAAGGTAAGAAAGACAAAAACGTAAAGGTGAACAACGAAAAGTGAACTACTCCTGAGCAAAACTAACATTATGATCATAAAGAAACAATAGTTCACCAAGTAACTTGTCAGTTCAAATGTTACCGATGTTCACAGATTACATGTCTAGCATTTAAAACTGCACAAAACTCTCTGACTATGCTAATATCTACATCATGAAATCGATTTTTTATTTTAATTGTAGAATCAGTCTGAGTTCACACGTTACTTATGTTTTATTCATGACTATAATGTTAGTTTTGCTCAGGAGTAGTTCACTAATGTGTCGTCGTTGTTCACCTTTACGTTTTGGTCTTTCTTACCTTGATAGTTGTGGATAAATTCTTCATGGACAGAATATGTCCTTTGTCAACCTTGATGGATGAAGACTTGGTGATGGGGCAGATGTATAGCCAGGCTGGCACCACCTAGTGCCTCCGCTCGATTTCATTTCTCTCCAACGACTAGGTCAGGAATCGGAATACACTAGACAGTTTGGAAGAATCCCGGAAGTGCGAGTCCAGGCACCAGCCAATCAGTGAAAGAG